TCTCAATATACACGCCAAGAACTTTTCCCTCAGATCATTACATTGATATTGTGACATAGTGGTATTATTTACAAAAATATTTTACGGCCCTATCCGAAAATTTTCATATCGAACCAGCGGTTCAACCGCCCCAAAAATAAAATCCTGTGTAAGTGCCCGGTCCTTTCCCTTCGCCGGTTACATATTGACAACACAATTTAGCCTAAATTTACCATTAACAATTTAATAGGTTTATAATATAAAAAAATTTTAATTTAAAAAAAATGATTCTGCATTTTTAATATGCATCACTGCCTTAATGGATAATCAATTTATATAATTTTGCTATAAATAAGCCAAACCGTAATCACTTCTGCAGCAACAAGTGAAATCATCAGCTGGATTTTTTGCTGAAAAACTTACTCGCAAAACAACGGGAAAATATGAAAACGATTCTAGTTCTGCTTCTAGTTATAGATCTGGCAAACCTTATCTATGGTCATGTGGTAAGATATAAACTGACGCTTACAAAATCGAATATCACTTAAAAATCCACTGTACAGCCCGTTAAAGTGCCCGAAGATCAAAAGGCTCGCACCGCTCAAATTGCCGCCGAATGTATAGCCCAGGAAAAGATAACACCCGAACAGGCAATTGAATTTTCAAAAGGAGAATTTACGAAAGCAGATAAAAATGTCAAATGTTATGCAAATTGTTTTTTGACAAAAGCTGGTGTTGTGGTCGATGGTGTAGTTCAAACCTCTGTGGTTATGGAAAAAATGGGTCCCACCGTGGGTGAGGAGAAACTGAAGGCTACCATGGAAAAATGTTCTAAACTTAAAGGTAGCGATCATTGTGAGACAGCTTTTATGATGTTCGAATGTTATCATAAAGAACATGCTGATATTGCTTAAGTGAAGGAGGTGATGAATGAATGGACGATGTAAAGGGAATTGTGGTATTATATATTTGCTGTGTGTGTTTATTTGCGATTTATATAACCGCTATGTATGTATATATATATATATATATATGTGTGTGTGTGTAAGTGTTAATGTTGAAAATAAATAAACAAATATAAATTAATTATTTGTGTTAACCATGCTATCATTTTCTATAGCGTAAATACCGAAAATGTCATCAACTTGAGATGAAAACTCATTTTGACGATCCAGAAATTATAGCGGATATTTAAAATTGCCCGGGAATATGTAAACCACTCATATAATAAATATGCCGATTCTGTTTGAGGTAACCTATGGGTGTCGTTTTAGAACGTATCAAGTTTGTAGATCATATTTATACCCTTCACCACACTGTGGTGAGGGTATTAGGTCTTTGTACAAATTTTTGTAACAGGCAAAAGGAATCGAAATAGACACATGATTTATTTTGAGAATATGCATAGAATCATTTTCTGAGTCGATTTATACAGGTCCGCCTGACCGTCCGTCTGCCCATGTTAAATTGTAAACGAAGTACAGGTCGCATTTATGACCCGATTTGGATGAAGTTTGGCATAGGTCACTTATTTGGCCCAAGGACGAACCCTATTGAAATTGGGAAATATCGGTTCTGATTTAGATATAGCCCCCATATATATTTTCGTCCGATTTAAGGTGAATGGTGAACCAAAGTCCCTATATATCTTTCGATTTGCACGAAATTTGGCACAGCGTAATGAATTAAGTCTAGAATGATGTGTGTTAAGTTTCCTGAAAATCGGTTCAGATTTAGATATAGCTACCATATATATTTTCGTCCGATTTAAAGTAAATGATGGCCCAGAGTCCCTGTATATCTTTTGATTTGCACGAAACTTGGTACATCGTACTAAAATGGGTATAGAATTATGTGTGTTAAGTTTCATGAAAATCGGTCTAGATTTAGATATAGCTCCCATATATATTTTCGTCCGATTTAAGGTAAATGGAGCATCACAGTCCCTATATATCGTTCGATTTGCTCGAAATTTGGCATAGCGCTCTGAATTAAGTCTAGAACGTGTGTGTTAAAAATCGGTTCAGATTTAGATATAGCTCCCATATATATTATCATCCGATTTTAGGTAAATAGTGTACCACAGTCCCTAGATATCTTTCGATTTGCACGAAATTTGGCATAGCGTACTTAATTACATCTACAACTATGTGTGTTAAATTACGTGAAAATCGACTCAGATGTAGGTATAGGTCCCATACATACTTTAGTTCGATTTGATGTGCACGAAATTTGGCATAGCGTACCGAATTAAGTCTACAACAATGTGTGTTAAATTCCGTGAAAATCGGTTCAGATTTAGATATAGCTCTCATATATATTTTCGTCCGATTTTAGCTAAATAGTGCACCAAAGTCCCTATACATATTTCGATTTGCCCGAAGTTTGGCATAGCGTACTAAATTTAGTCCAGAGTGATGTGTGTTAAGTTTCTAGAAAATCGGTTCAGATTTAGATATAGCTCCCATATATATTTTCGTGCGATTTTATGTACAAGGTGTACCAAAGGCCCTATATATCCTTGGAATGAAGTCTAGAGTGATATGTGTTACGTTTCGGGAAAATTGCTTCAGTTTTCGATATAGCTCTTACATATGCAAATGTATTCCTCTGATATTATATAAATGGTGCACTAAACTCCTAATGTTTGTCCGATTAACACTAATGTTTGCACAACGTTTGACGATATTGCGTTTTGTTGAAATTGGTGCAGATGCAGCAATAGCTTCCATATGTATTTCGAAAGGGTGCCTGATTGAAATTATATTTATTAAATTTTTATTTAACAGTACGGCGTGCCCAATATCGTGTATCAATTTTTCTATAAATCCACAAATTTGTGCCATGGTACGCAGACGACTCTATTTTGTACAACGTAGTGAAATTAGTATAGCCTAACGGGTACCAAGTTTTGTAGGAATCGGTTCAGATTTAGATCTAACTCCCATATATAGTTTCGTCAGATTTTATGTAAACGGTGCACCAAAGACCCAAAGTTAGGCCGATTGACACAACATTTTGAACAACGTACTGAAGTTAATATAACTTAGTTAGAAATTAGTAATTAGTATTAGTAGTATTATTTAGTTGAAATTAGTATAACCCAACCTATGACAAGTTTCGATAAAATCGGTTCAGAATTTGATACAGCTTTTATATATATGTTCGTCCGATTTTAAGTAAATGGTGCACCAAACTCCTTGGTTATCAGATATTTATCCAAATAATCAACGGACGGTGTAGGGGATGATAGATACCAAGCAACGGCTCTGATTGGCTTTAACATGGCGAAGTCCAGGCTTACCTTGGTCCCTCTTTCATCTCAATTGTGGACACTGACCTCCCCGCGGTGCCACCTGGGGAGCTATTCTCATCACCCGATGAAATAGTGAGCTTATATGTGCCGCGAGTTCACCCATAAGAACTGTAAAAAAAATGGGTTGAGGCATCGGGTTAGTTGCCCAGTCTCGGAAAACCCCTCCTACTATGAAAAAGCAAAGAAAAAGGAAACCAAGCCCCCTAATGTTGACGACCCCCGCAAACTTATAAAGGAGCATGATCTGTGAATTTGCACTTGGAATGTGCGCACGTTGTACAGCACAGGCGCAGTGTTCCCTTTGGCGGATGTACTCAAGAAGTACAAAGCCGATATTATTGCCTTACAGGAAATACGATGGAAAGGGTCAGGTGTAAGTAAATCAGACGATTACGCCCGAAGATAAAGATGAACAGACCAAAGACATATACAGTAGCAACACGTAACGTGATGGAGAATTATAGGGAGAAAAGGTGAGAGGAGAAACGTGTTTTCAGAAAAAAGAAGAAAGAACAAGAAAAACGTGAGCGTGAGCAAATCGAGATGTACAGGTGTCAGAATGAAGTCCGGAAATTTTACCAACGAGTAAAACACCAAACCGAATGCTTCGGTGCAGGCACATCCTCCTGTAGAGATGAAGAAGGAAACCTGGTGACAGATACAGACAGCGTGTTGAGGATCTGGAAAGAGCATTTCGAAAAGCTTCTAGTATCAAATAGTGGCGATGAAGAAGATACCCCAGAACCAATAAGAGATCATGGTATAGAGTGTATACCACCTAGCCAAGATGAGGTCATAAAAGCAATTAATCGGCAGCAGGAGCCGATGGGTTACCAGCCGAACTATTCAAGACTGGTGGCCAGATGCTGGTCAGGAGCATGCACCAGCTGATTAGCACAATTTGGGTAGAAGAATGCATGCCCAATGATTGGAACCTCAGCATCCTGTGTCCCGTGCACAAAAAAGGAGACAAGACAATATGTGCCAACTATAGAGGAATAAGTCTCCTTCCCATCGCATATAAAGTGCTATCCAGTGTGCTGTGTGAACGATTGAAGCCAATGGTCAATGATATCATCGGACCATACCAATGCGGCTTCAGACCTGGCAAATCCACCATTGACAAGATTTTCACTCTGCGCCAAATCCTGGAAAAGACCCACGAAAAACACATCGACACATACCACCTATTTGTCGACTATAAAGCCGCATTCGACAGCCCTATACGTTCAGAGGTATTTAAAGCCATGTCTGCGTTTGGCATTCCTGCAAAATTAATACGGCTATGCAGGATAACTTTAAGTGACACAAGGTCAGCAGTTAAAGTAGGAAAGGACCTATCGGAGCCCTTCAATACCGAACGAGGATTCAGACAAGGTGACAGTTTGTCGTGTGATCTTTTTAACATCCTACTGGAAAAGGTCATACGAAACGCAAAGGTGAACAGAAATGGCACTCTGTACACCAAACAACACATGTTGCTCGCCTACGCCGATGACATAGATATAATGGGTCGAACATTGCGAGCGGTAACAGCCACCTTTGAACAAATTGAAAAGGAGTCTGCCAAAGTGGGTTGGCGAGAAGCCCATGCAGATGGTATCAACGCGCAAGACGTCCAGTAGACTCGGACCAACTGTGGAACTTGAGAACTACAGCTTCGAGATAGTAAAATTTTTTATATACCTTGGTACTGCCATAAATAAAACGAACGACATCAGTTTTGAAATTCGGAGAAGGATTGTGATGGCCAACAGATGCTACTATGGTCTAAGTAAGCAGTTTAGAAACAAGGCCACCTCCCGCCAGACCAAACTTACACTTTACAAGACGCTGATACTACCCGTGCTATTATATGGATCAGAAGCATGGGTACTTGCGCAAGCAGATGAGGCAACTATTGGTGTGTTTGAAAGGAAAATTCTCCGAAAGATCTACGGGCCGATATGCGTCGACGGTGAATATCGGCGTCGAATGAACCACGAGCCATACAATTTATACGCGGACATCGACATAGTCAGTCGTATTGAGCTGCAGCGACTACGGTGGCTAGTCCATGTTGTGCGGATGAATGAAGATGCCCCAGCTCAAAAGGCATATAAAAGCGAGCCTACTGATGGTTCCCGTAGAAGCGGAAGGCCACGAATTAGATGGAAAGACCAAGTAGAAAACAACATCTTGGAACGTGGTCTTCCAAATTGGTGGACTTGCGCACAAGACCGACGCGCTTGGAAATCTTTTTTAAGCTCGGCTTATGGAACAACCATTCTGTAATAAGCCAGCTAAGTAAGTAAAGTAAGTAATCCACGGGTGTCCGATTGATATTTGTTTTAAATTGATTTACACAATTTTGTCCCAGTGTAAGAAGCAACTCTATATCTGTCCAAATAAAAAAATTTAGTATAGGTTGCAGAATGACATGTTTATGGATCCAACTTCCGTTAGGATTCATCTGTTGAATATACCCAAAGTGGTGAAGGGTATCATATAGTCGGCCCCGTACGACTTTACTGCTTTCCTTACTGGTTTTAATTTTCACATTCAATATTTTCTTTTACAACTTTAGGTGACAAAAAAAAAGTTGTTTTTTATGTTTGT